CACCGCGTGCGTCGTGTCCTTCATCGACTCGAGCTCGCCGGCCTCGAGCCGGAGCTTTTCCCGAAGCGCCGCCATCTCTTCGCGGTTGCGGTGCGCGAGCTCGCGGAACCGATGCACCGTGCGGTCCTTGTCGTCGACGTTGGCTTGCGCGGAGGCGAGGCGCTCGTTGAGCTCGGTCACTTTCGTGCGCAGCGTGAGGAGCTCGGCGCGGAGGTCCTTCTCGAGCAAGTCGTGCTGGTGCTCCATCTCCTCGCTCATGTCTTTCAGCGCTTCGAGCGATGCGATTGACGCTTCGAGATCGGCGACGCGCTCGCCGAGGCTGAGGTTCTTCTCCGTGAGCGCTTCGACCATGGCCTCGTACGCGCTGGCGACATCGAGCATCTCTTTGAGCTCTTCGTTTTCATGCGCCACTTTGGCCATCTTGGCCGACACAACCTCGACCTCGTCGCGGTAGCTCGCGAGCTCCGTCGCTTGGCGCGATGCCTCCTTGAACGACTTGGTGAGCTCCATCTTCTCGTCCGCGTACCGGTCGTGCAGCGCCTTGATCGCTGTCCGGAGCTTGGCGTTCTCTTCGTGGACGCTGGTCGAATGGACGTCCAAGTGCATGTGCGACGAGTCGCCAGCAATCTCCGCGGCCAGCGTGAGCTTCTCGACCTCCATCTCGGCGTCTTCGAGCCGCTCTTCAGCGATCTCCTTGTCCATCGCGAGCGTCTCCTTCTCGAGCGTGAGCATCTCGACCGTGTCGTGGAGGTCCGCGAGCTGCGCGTTGAGCGTCTCAATCTTGCGGGTGGCCGCCGACGCCTTGGCTTGGGCTTGAGCAACCTCGTCCGTCCGCGCCTGCTCGGACGCAGCAAACTGCGCGTTGCGACTCCGGAGCGCGACGAGCTCGGAGGTGGCGGCTTGCAGCTCGTGCAGTTGCTTGTCGAGCGCCGCTTGGAACGACGCTTCCTTGTCCTCGATCGTCTTTTCGAGTTTCGTCACCTTGATCTCAAAGTCCTTGCGCATCTTGGCGGCGAGCGCAATGCCTTCGTCGCGTAGCTCGCGCACCTTCTCGTCGTACGCGGCCTTGGTGTCGAGCACCGAAGACGAGGAAGATGCGGGTGCCGGCGGTGGCATTGGCGCCTTCTGCGCCTCGAGGAGCTCGGCTTGAAGCGCGGCAATGCGCTCGTTCTTGAGCTCGAGGTCGTGCAAGAGGTTCTCGATCTTGTCGTGGGCGTGCTCGAGCGCTTCGTGCTCGTCGATGGACCGAACGGACCGAGTCGAGCGTGTCGACTCGGTTGGCGACGGAGGAAGTGAGAGCGGCGCTGGCGCGGCCGCACGCCGGGATGGCGACGACGGTACCGTGAGGCTGGAGCGTCGCGTGAGCGGTCGGTCGGTCGGGAGGCGCGGGCTGGTCTTTTTGGCCGGCGCAGGCGCTGCGGGCGGCGTGAGCGACGACGTCGACGACCGCTTCTCGCGCATCTGCAGCAGGCGGCTGGTCGCGGACGATGTCGAGGATGTGGACGCTGTGCCATGCGTCGGCGGCGTCGAGCCACCACGCGCGAGCCGGACTTGGGACTTTTTGGCAAAGAGGCCAAAGTTGGGTTCGCACTGGAAGTAGCGCACGCCGTTGATCTCGCCGTCGTTCTTGCCTTCGGGCGCATCGAGCTCGACGCCGACCCAGTCGCCCTGCGCAAACTCGGTCGTCCCGAGGAAGCGGACGACGCCGGTCTTGCCGCCGACGACGAGGACGCGGCTCCCGAGCTCCATCGTCGTTTTTGTTTTTATTTTATTTTATTGCTCGACGATCTTGCGCGTGGCATTTAAAATAATACCATACAAATGGCAAATGGGTCGAATTGAACGACGCAGCGGGCTATTCCCTCAAAGCAATCTCTACAAAATTGTAAAAAGGAAACAATAGAACGTGGCCGCGCCGATTCCAGGTACACGTGTACAACGTACTGTACGTAGTGTACCGGTAGCGACTATGCTATCGGCAGACCAGTGCAGCTCGATGTACTAATAGTAGAAGGACTCCATGCGTTGGGCACTCCTACGCCACCATTGCTGCTTGACGGTCGCGACCGAGGTGAGCGCCACCATCCGGATATGTAGTAGACTGCGTGTTTGGATCCCATACAAATTTAACGTGTCGGTGCGATCTTCCGGATACGCGCACTGAGCGGCTACCCGACTCACTCAGTCTTGTTCGCGGTCAAGTCACGCGGAGCGTGGTCGTCGAGACGGTCCATCCGCGAACACCGCCGGCTGTATTAGCGCCGGGTACGTCCACGCAGCCGTCGACTACGATGACAGGGATGGCTCCCGCGCACTCTCTTGTACATCAAGTTGCCGACATCGACCACTGTCAGTGGAGCGGCGACGCACGACGCGGAGCAGAGCTCCATCGATATTGCTCGTGTCGGCAACTTGGCGACTATCGAAACCCACGCCCGAAGCTCACGGTCGACGTGTCTCGTGGCGGTCCACGCAGTTGCAGCGCTGGCCATGCGCGAACGGCACGGCCCACAGTCCGAGTGGCCGGAGAAGGTAGCGTCCGCAGCGCTGCAGGCGCTGGAAGGCACGTGGTCGCTGCTCCGGACCTTCTCCCGTGAATGCGACAAGGAGCAGTTCGGCTCTTTGTACGTCTTCGACCGCATCATCGAGCTGGCACCGCCCGAAGTCGCCTCTACCGAAAGGCCCAACCCGCAGCGAAGTTGTACCGACGTTGATCCGTCCGACGACCGCCTCAGTGCGATGTAGGCTCAAGGAGCAGCTGAAGGCCGCTGTGAATGCCAGGAAGAAGCGCCGCTCCGACGTCGATGCTGCATCGTACGACGATGTCGACCCTGCCGAAGCACGATGGTATACTGCATGTAGGCACCAAGCACCGAAAATGGCCAAGCTCGCGGCCGCCGATGAGGACGGGACGACGCTCTCGCGCGAGCTCGTCGCTGCCGTTGACAGTGCGGTGACGTCTGCCGTTGGCGGTCTCGAGACGAAGGTGCTCGCTCGGTTGCAAGAGCAAGACGTTCGGCTGTCTGCTATTGAGGACAGCATCGACACGCTGCGTCGCATGCAGCACAACGAGTTCCGCAGCTTGCGCCAAGGCCAGCTTTCGCTCGCGCAACATGTGACGACGGATCACACGTACCAATCGCGTTGTCGTCGTCATGTAATCCGTTGTCGCATGTTGTGCGAGCGAAAGTTGACCTTGGCGCAGGCTGCGGAACTCGTTGTGCTGCGTGTGACGCAGCTCGTCGACGCTGTCTTCGATCGCGGACAGCCGAACGTCTTGCTTGGTCAGCCGAGCGAGCACCTTGGTCTCGAGACCGCCAACCGCAGATGTGACCACGCTGCCAACGGCAGCGACGAGTTCGCGCGAGAGCGTCGCGCCGTTCTTGTCGGTGGCGGCGGCCGCGAGCTTGGCCTTTTTTGGTGCGTGGTGCCTACATGTAGTTTATACCATTATGCTTCGACAGGGTCGATATCGTCGTACGATGCAGTCTCGTCGTCGGAGCGGCGCTGCGCACGCGGCCTGTCTCTTCAAGCGGCCTCGCGTGTACACCCAACGCATCCCGATGAGTTAAATGTGTATCAATCGATCGGATCGATGGGTCGTTCGACTGCGCGTACGGCGCGGGTGAGTGTCATCGGTCCTTCTGGGCAACTTGAAGATCGTCACATTGCCCAGCCCAGCACCAAATCGCGTAATGTCACTACCCGCTCATGGTGCCCACGTCGGACATTGACCTCGTCTGGCACGCACACCAGACCACCGGCCGGCCGTACCGCGACTACTCGCGCAGCGTCAGCAAGGCCAAGTGTGTGATTGACCACGACGACACGATTCCCGGCGGCGACCTCGCGAAAGGCTATGCAGACACCTTTGTGCTCTGGTCGCAGACCTTTGGCGAGGCCTACTCGAGCTTCCCGCCGAGCTACGAAGCCTGGGTCGCTGGCAAAGGCGCGTTCTCGCGCAAGACGTGGGCCAAGCACGGCAACGTGCCGGCCAAAGACTCTCGCTTCTTCGGCGTCAACGAAACGTGCGCTGTGAGCGCGCTGCCGTA